CTCGTGAAATATCCTCCTGTTTGCAATTCAGATGTAACATTTTTTTTATTTAAAAACGCTCAGCGACCTTGAAATGATCTGCAAGGTCGTTGTCAAGGTCAGCATCATTTTACGCATTCAAATCCCTACCATTCTCCAGGATGCTTAGTTTTTGAAATATTTAGGTGATGAGATTAAAATGGAACACCCTGTACAGAGGCTGCCGCGATTAGCAAATAATGTTCTTGGTGATCTGAACTTCGACAAGCTGAAACGAATGGCTTCTTGCCTAAACAAAAAGTGCGCTTGCTGGACTTCTAGGCAGACCTTACCGGTGCTGTGTATGGAATAAGTAATATGAATCGTGGAGAAGGATTTTTCGCGCCTGCTAACTGACAGAGTATAATTTTTCGCATATTATTTTTCATCCAGACATAAATGAACGAAACAATGGCTGGTAACCGGTAGCGTTGTTTTTCTGGCACACAGCCACCGTAAAAAACTGTCACCCCTTCTAGGAATTAAAATCTAATTATAGAGATGTCCCCGTTTTTTCCGCCTCTAACGGTCTACCGCTAAGAGCGAGAGCAAAAGCAACTAAAAAATAACACACAATATATCGCACAAAATTTTTTTGCAGCATCTGCAGTTGCAGCGCTGTAAATAACAACTTTAATCACCGGTTGGAAAAAAACTGTGGGGTATGACCTTTTCCCACATGAGCATTCTTAGGGTGTAAGATATAGGGACCGTTTTTTACCTATCGCCTATTAGAAATTTGCATTTGAAAAAAGTTCGGGTATACAGGTTTTTTACGGCTGGGTCTTTAGCCCTGACGATTTTTTTAGTTTCTCACGGTGAACATAATGTTTTGCAGCGACTATGATATGCAAGTAATTTTTCTAGTTATGGGGGGAGACGCATCTATAAAAATACGTTACAAAGTTGCAAGGCATACATTGTTTTCGATAATTTACCGTCCTTCTTGCTTGCTACGCTCACTGGCGAGAAAGTATACTAAGTGACTTATAAATCCGAACACCCAGTTTAAATAGTTTTATTTTAACAAAATTTTGTATAAGTACTTAATGAAGCATAATAAGTAAATGATAAAAATTTCAGAATGATTGCACTGCTTTAAAGCCCTTTGACCTTTAATAATGTGTGAATGCACCCTGATGTGCTACGCACCCTCCAACGCGCCTAGGCATGCTTCTGATCAGGTGGTCAATGTCCTCCTGTGGTATCTCATTCCAGGCAACCACCAACTCCTCTCGAAGTGCTTTTAGAGTCTGAGGAGGACGTTGCAAATTGAGCAATCTCCTACCCATCATATCCCACACGTGCTCAATTGGGGATAAGTCGGGAGATCTTGGTGGCCATGGTAACAATGTGACATCATTATGTTGAATGAAGTCTATTGTGACTCTTGCAACATGTGGTCGGGCATTATCTTGTTGGAAAGTAGGATCTGCCAGGGTGTCAAGATAGGGTAAAAGATGGGGTTCTAGAACTTCGTGAATATAACGCTACGCGTTCATGTTACCTCTGATGAAGAATAAAGGTGACCTGGAACCATAAGCTATAGCACCCCAAACCATAACTCCAACAGTGTGATGAACATGTCTTCCAACAAAAAACTGTGGATTCCTCCTTTCATCACGTCGCCTTCTAACCCTGGCTCGACCATCGTGCATGCCTAAACAAAATCGAGACTCGTCACTAATGACAATACTGTTCCATTCCTGATCCTAGAGTGACCGTTGTCTTCACCACTCAAGGCGATTACGTCGGTGTTCTCGAGTTAAAGGGAGGACCCAGTGTGGCCGGTATGAAAACAAGCCAAAACTTCTCATTCGTCGATAAACACTTCGCATACCAATAGGTCTTCCGTGTTCTGCAAACCATTCATTTGCAATGGACCTGGTAGTGGAGAAACGGTTCCTTAAGGCCAATAATCTTAGGCGGCGATCTTCACGGTCTGTTGTTCTACGGCGGCGTCCAGTGCCCCTTGCTCTTTGCGTACGACCTTCTCGAAGCCATGCCTGACAACACCTAACCACATTGTCTACAGTTCTTTGCACTCTAACTGCAATTGCCCGAAAAGAAAGTCCAGCTTCCCGAAGTCCCACTATACGGCCCCTATCAAACTCACTAAGTTGACGAAATCGTACAGGTCTCCGTACTCTAGGCATCGTAACCGATCGTAAAGGATGTCAAGAACCAAAATCCGCCAACGTTGATTCTTTACTGCGGCTGAAATATTCATTTTTAGAGCGTTAGTGCATTAAAAAAAAGCAGTATAAAAACCCGGAATGTCCAACTGATAAGGCTGAAAATTTTTTCACTTGTTATTTACAGTAAGATAAATACATTCACCAACTTTTATTAAAATAAAACCATTTAAACTGGGTGTTCGGATTTATATGTCACTTAGTATATTATAATCGCGAAAAAGTTCGTTGACGTTAATTGTTATGTACATCACAAAAAACTATGCGTAACTCATTTCCGTCTGTATGTCTATAATTTGGAAAGTACCGCTCGGATTTTGATCAAATTTCGACACAAGGTTACTGCTATTCCAAAAACAAAAAAGATTTATATTTTTTTAAAATTCGTACAGAGGCGGCGGAGCTATGACCAATAATAGGAAAAAAAAGTTGCTCATACTTCGTTGTTTGACGATTAGGAAGCTCCAGACCATTTTCAGAAAGAAATTTGTAGAGGTTAAAAATTGGGGATTAGGGGTTGTAACGGGTAGGAGTTGATGAACCTCAATTTGTTTATTTTAGTTCCGCGATTCTATTTCATTTAACCTTAAAACTTGATAGAGAAATGTTTTCGATACGCCTCTCTGCTTCTGCTCTCTGGGTTTACCGGTGGGCGTCTCGGTCTCTCTGAGTCTCCTTCTGTTCGTTCCTCCGTGTCGCGACGGTATCACCGGTGGGGCAGGAAAAGCATGTCTTTGGACTAATTGTATGGGCCTGTTTGACTGACTTGATCCATTTTATTTCCCTGTTGTAGATGTTCATACCTTTTTTCTCAGAACATGATTCAATTACGAACTAATGACGGCGTTCAGAGTCAGACTACTTGACGGCAAAGGTAAGTTGCTTGCATATATTTTCATATTGAAAAAAGCTGCTAGGGCAGAGCCTCAGTACCTTTGTACCACGCCTGATACAAACAAGTTAAAAATATCTTGTTTATCCCATTTTTGAACTGCCTGAAGTTTGTTCCATATTTTCGCTACTCTAAGAAGAAAGAAGAAGCTGTGTCGAGCAGCTTTCGATTTTCAGGACCAGACCAGGAGTTGAAGCCTAGCGGGTGCATCCTGCAGGTCTAGAACAAAGAAGCAACATGAAGAACAGTTAGAGGAACAGAATTGATTGGTATCCGGTAAAAGGGAGCCAGAACTTCGGCTATCAACCGACTGTATTTTAATGTAACTGTTAGAAAAAAGCCCAGGACCTCCTGCGGTACGCATTCCCGCTCCTAAAAGAGGTCCAATTCCTCAAAGCGACAAGCGAGCTCGAGGTTATCTGTTGTTTTTGGGTGTACCAGACAAGTAACGCTCTCTCTTCGCCCCGGAAAAAAACACACAACACACCGGTTGATTAATATAATTACAATCTTCGACTACTAATTGTTCATGGTTCCGAAATCCGAAAAATGTACTCCGACACCGAGTATTTTATTCGTATGCTCATTTACGAAGGCTAGTGCGAAAGTGACGGTAATATTCAATCCCCCTATGTGGCACTAAACAATAAAGTGGGTGAAAATAAGGAAAGCACATTTGGGTCGGGCACAGCCAATTGCGGAGAAAAAATAGGGTGAGCATGCGACAAAACGGACTTACACTGGACCAAGTTGCATAATCTGTATATCTCTCACAAAAGGTCTTATGAATAAAAGAAATTGAATGCTTTTTCTCACGAAAAATCAAATAAATAGACGTGCATCAAGTGAAAGCACAATCGTGAACACGGCACACTTACGGAATTTGGGGCGTCAAACAATGTGAATTTACGTAGATCTAATTTTGAGGTAAGGCATTGATTCCCAAAGTGGTCTATATCGACCCCTAGGGGTCTATCACAACCTGCAACGGGTCTACGTCAGCGAAAAAAAATTTGGGGGTCCATAAAATGAATATGGGGGTCCACGATAGTGGATCTCAACACATACACTGATAGTACTTATTTACTTACATCATACTATCTTATAATATCAAAACATATACATTATTTATAAAAGTACCTATGAAGTAAAAAATTTATTATATATGTTTATAAAATTGTGTAAGTTGTAGGATGTTGGTATTCGCTTTGTGGTCGCAATACATTTTGAACTTGTAAAAACCTGAGAGTCTCAGAGCTTCGCTATCTTGCACTGACTTGTTCAATTCATCACTCTATAAATACGAATGTGGGACAAATACGTTTATTCGTTTCCTGAATCTTAAAAAGGAAAGTGCTAAGAAAATATTTTAAAAAATATAAACAGATAGTATATCACACAAATTATAGTGAGTCAGTGTTATTTTGTTTGAGAGTGCTGGAAGAAAAGTAAGTACATTATTTTTTATTAAATTTTAGTTTTGTACTCGTAGTTAGCATAGATAGATAAATTACGCCAATCGTGACTTTAGTTATTAGTAGTTAAATATTATCAATCATGCAAAATTACACGAGTACTCCTCAACAGTTTCTTTTTGAAAGTTTTAGCAATCGGTAATATAATTACAGTGCAATCTCCGTAATTCGAGCTAATTGTTGCAAGAAGATGTTCGAATTATGGAATGTTTTCGGAAAAATCAAAAAATATTTTTAATATACAGCTGCTGGATTTTCTGTCTTATTTAAATAATTTAATTTTGCCCACAGATGACTGATGCCATGTCCAAATCTAAAAAGAAATGTAGACAGTACAGTGTTGATTATTTCATTCCATCATTGCCGAACAAACAATCGCCTATATGCCTTTTATGCAACAAAGTTTTGGGCAATGACGCTATGAAACCATCTAAACTGCAAGATCATCTGAGAAGACGCCACCCTGATAAAACAGAGAAAGATTTGAAATACTTTCAAACACTCAAAGATAAATTTCAGAAGAGACCTACACTGGACAGAATGTTCGCTTCGACGTCACAAAGAAATGATGATGGTTTGCGGGCGACTTACAATATCTCGTTACTTATAGCAAAATCCGGAAAACCGCATACTATCGGAGAGAAGTTAATTTTGCCAGCCGTTGAAGAGGTTTTAAAAACTTACACAAACCTGCATCTGATATCATTAAAAGAATTCCCTTAAGCAACAATACTGTTGAAAGACGTATTGATGAAATGAGTTCTGATATTGAAAGCTTCTTATGTAATTATTTGCAAACGACCCATTTCTCTATATAACTGGACGAGTCAACTTTACCTGATAATGCAGCATTATTATTGGCATATGTTCGTTTTATTGTGAATCAAGAAATCTACGAAGAACTGCCCTTCGCAAGAACTTTGATAACCGACACTAAAGGTGAATCAATATTTCATATTTTGAAGGATTACTTCATTGAAAAAGCAATTCCTTTATCAAATGTAATATCAGTAGCTACAGATGGAGCGCCTGCTATGGTTGGACGTTATCGTGGATTTATAAGCTATTTAAAACAAAATGTGTCAGGGGTGTTAGCAATACATTGCGTCATCCATCGAAAACATTTAGTTGCTAAAAATTTGAGTGTTAGATTGCATGAATCACTTCATTTAGTCATTGATGCAGTAAACCGAATCCGAAGCAACGCGTTGAATACGTGGTTATTTGCGCAGTTGTGTGAAGAAAATGACGAACACTTTCATCAATTACTCCTTCACACTGAAGTACGCTGGCTGTCGAAAGGCTTATGTTTGACAAGATTTTTTGCACTTTTTGAGACTATTTTAGAATTTCTGGATACTAAAGATAAAATTTTAAAAGAAAATTTAATGAAGAGGAAAACAGACATCGCCTATTTAACAGATTTGTTTACAAAATTTAATATGGTTAATTTGCAATTACAAGGCGACAGTTCAAATTTGATTAAAACAAAGTCCATCTTATCAGCGTTTTTTGCCAGAGTTAAACTAATGAAGCAAAATATTGGACGGGGCGAATTTTCTCAGTTCCCCAATTTGTCACAGACAAGCTGCCAGGAAGACGACGTTTCAACTTACGTTCAACATTTAAATGCCCTCTGTTCAGATTTTGAATCTAGGTTTGAGGATATTTTGACTATGGTAATACCACCGTGGATAATTAATCCATATGGTGACAGAAGAAACGAATGTCATAATACAAGAGGAACTGACTGAACTAAGTACAAAAGAAGAACTTAAGGTTCAGTTCAAAAACGGATATCAGCAATTCTGGCTGCAAAACAACATACCCGTTACTTATCCCGTATTATGGAATACAGCGAGGAAATTTTTAATTTCCTTTCCATCGTCATACCTAGTGGAAAGGGGGTTCAGCGCTGTTACCAATCTCCTAACGAAAAAAATAAACAGACTGGATCATTAGCCGAGGAGATTTAAAATTAACCCTTATAAAATTGACGCCAAATGTTGATAATTCATTATTAAAGCATCAGGTTCATCCATCTCACTAAAAATATTGACTTAATGCTTATGTTACTTTATTTATAGTTTATTTTATGTTTATTGGTGTCTGACCAATAAATGGCCGCATTGGGAATAAGTGCCCGCATTAATTTTTTTAAAGAACCCCCCTTTATAGAAAATATTTTTTTTTAAATTATTCTTAAAATTCAAGGATGGTACACACTAAGATTCGTTAATTTTTTGCCTATTTTTAGATAACTTAATCGTATAAGAAGCGGAATTTAATCAAACTAACAGTGAAATTATTGTAGAACATACGTTTATGTTATAATTAATAAACGAACTCGCTTATTGTATCATTTTAAGTAAAAAACTTTTTTTTATTATTTTTCACTTTTTTTTTATTTTATCCCTCTTATTTTTTTTCAATTTGGGCACTTATTCCCAATGCGGGCACTTATTGGTCAGACACCTGTTTATTTAATGTTACGTATATTTTACATCACAGATACAAAATTTTATTTTGAGTAGTTTCAGTTTAAATTCAATTAATATTGTATAAATTAACATGTGTTTTTACTTTAAGTTTTTAACACTAAACTTCACTACAGTTAGAAATTTACAGGAAATCAATATCAGGTAAGTAGGGGGTCTACCCAACACGGAAAAACATGTCAAGGGGTCTAGGACACAAAAAAGTTTGGGGAACTCTGAGGTAAGGGATAGGTCGTTTTCGACCTCTCAATGGGTCTAGCGTGAAATTGATGATGGATCCGGAACCTACGCGCTTGATTTACCCAATGTGATTTTTCAGAAAAATCTAATATTTTTTTCTTCTAAAATGGATTTTTCACAAATCGATTAACATTGAGAAAGGAAAAATCGATTTTTCATTATCGATGTTTTACTCATTGTCACAAATTCGAATATGTCAGGACTCAGTAACTAATTTGTCTACCTATGCATCGGCGCACATTCTTTTCTCTGGAAAGGAGATCCAAAGCTATTCATACTTGGTATACTCATGTAGAGCAATGCAGAAATACTATCTGTGTTGTGATGTGAATAGCTCAGTTATTGTTAATAAACAGAGACAAGTTAAATAAGGCAAAGAAATGAAAGTAAATATTTATCAATGATACAGCATATTTGAACAATTCTGATCAATTTGTGATTTCTGAAGGTGAACGATCAAACAGCAACAATGGCGGAATATCTTATATTGGAAATAGTGGGACACTTTGCCGAATTCTACTCGGTTTTTCTATACAGGGTGTCCGCAGAGTTGAGGTTTTCCTTTACACGACGTGTAGATTTTGAAAACATAAGCAATTTTTCTTAGTACCATATACACCAATGTCTTAAGGGAACCGAGATAAAGGGCTCTGCAACATCAAAAATATCTGAATACCGTCCTGTAGCCGCGACTCGCGACATCCCCGACTGGTACTAGGACACTAGCTCAACCCGACGACAGAACTGGGTCGGGGTCAGTGTGTCAGATCAGTATGCAACCTTCAACCGCCGGTTACGGTCACGCGTGTAGAGGTAAACGAACTCGTATAATCGATTGTGTTTCAAAAAACGACAAGCACTAGAGACGTGGCTAGTGCTAGTGCAAGTATCAAAAACTAAAGTGCGGCAAACGCTGCGTGAAGAGGGGCTGTATCCGTTTCACGTCCAACGTGTACAAGCCCTTCAACCTGACGATTTTCCAGCAAGAGTGCGGTTTTGTGAGTGGTTGTTGCATCAACATGACAATAATCCGGACTTTTTGAAGTGCATATTGATGACAGACGAATCTACGTTCACGCGTAATGGGGTGAATAACTTTCGCAACACTCATGTTTGGTCAGTAGAAAATCCGCACGCTGTCCGTCGGGCACATTTTCAACAAACATTTTCGGTGAATGTTTGGGCTGGCATGGTGAACGGTATGCTCATTGAACCATTTATTCTCCCAAATCGATTGGACGGGATGCAATACCTAGACTTTTTACGCAACATTTTGCCTTCCTTGTTTGCCTGCGTCTGCTCGGTAGCGCATCAGCTGATTTCATTTTCCGTTGGAGCGGTATGATTTCGGGCAGAGACGTACTTAGCCCTTCTCGTCAACTGGAGAGTGAGTACTTTTTCCTTTATTTTTTTTTACTTGGTCGCCCTCGTTTCACTACACATTACCTTTGTTATTTCAAGGGTAGTTGTTTCTGAAAATGAAAACCCCAACTTTGCGGACACCCTGTACTGACTGTCAAAAAAAAGGTAAACATATACGTATGTTTATCCGATTTTAATAATTTTTGGCATATACAGTAATGGACAAAAATATGTAGACAAATTGCTGTTGGTAAACAAATAAATGAAACTATTTAACAGTACTTAGTCATAAAATATTTATTTTTAAGATTTTTAACTGTTACCAATGGTAACAATGGTTACATGGACGCTTCGCCACTGAGTGACGATACTTTATTACCAATCCGAATGCTATATGGCTTGTACAATTTGGTAAACTGAGGGATAAGATCTCAACTAAGATAGCAATACCGATTTGAGCCTGTCATTGTGTCCAAAACAATATTACCTAGATACAGTTGAGATACAGCTGATATAGGCAAGTCATACATATAAAGCTTGAGTACCTGGGCTTCAACAACATTTACTTAGCGCTCTTAACATCATATCTGTTTGAAAGGAAACAGTATGTTTTTTATAATGTCTACATATCACATGTTTATGTCTCAACCCACAGGGTTCGAATTTAGGACCACTGTTGTTCATATTGTTTGTGAATGATCTGTATGAATCTTTGGCTTGTTCTAAGTTAATGTTCGCAGACGACCTAAAATTTTATTCATCCGTTTCATGCTTGGAAGACTGTGCATTTGTTCAATGTCAAATAAATAAATTGCAAAGCTGGCGGGCCAAGAATCAACTTCATCTTAATATAAGTAAGTGTAAAGTAGTAACTTTTTCAAGGAAAACCAACCCAATGGTTATATAATTATACAATGATCCAACATTTTCTTGAGCGCAGTGAAACTGTGAAAGACTTAGGTATCTACTTTGATCAAGATCTAACCTTTAATGAGCATATCAATCAAATCATATCAAGTGCTTACCGAACCTATGGCTTCGTTATCAGAAATTGTAAATCTTTTGACGTTTTGACTTTGCAGACATTATACTTTAGCTTGGTTAGGTCTAAGCTTGAATATGGATCTTTGATATGGAGTCCGATTTACAAGCAGTATATTGATGTTGTTGATAAACTTCAAAAGATGTTTTTAAAATTTTTATGTTTTAAGATCGATGGCATATATCCTACTAGAGGTACAGAATACAACATCCTTCTTCATAAATTTGGCATTCAATCCTTAGAACAACGGCGTCAGCAATCAGCAGTTATAGTTTTATATAAATTACTGCATAATCTAATAGTCTGCCCTACAATACTTTCACAAATACAGTTTCTGGTACCACGACTAACATCAAGGTATAATGTTCCTTTTTTATGTCAAAGAGCTCAAACAAAGTTATTGTCGAAGCATAGGTGAATTGAAGTGCAAATTGCGTGCTCACTTTTGATTTATCTTACGTTTCTTATTTTTAAGCTGTAGCTATATTTATTTTTGTTATTGATACATGAATTATTATTGTTTTTTTTTTCTTCACAAGCTACCTCATGGTGATTTTTTTTATAGTAGTTTGCTCTGTAAATGGTGTTAAACTGTTGGGCAATAAACGCTTATTATTATTATTATTATTATTATAGCCAAACCATATACGGCAATATGTTCGTAAATTACAGTAACCTCACTTGGCGATCTAAACTGTGTCTAAACGACCAAATATATCAATCAACTGCATCTGAAAATCATATTCAGTGTTTAAGAGAATCCACAATCCCACTGGTCGACTGTCAATGAAAGGGAGTCGATCCTACGCCGAGGGTCAGAGGTTAACTTCCTTCCTTTCTAACATCACCAGGCCACCGGACACGGTGCATCATTACTTTCCCGAAAAATACAAAAATGACCATCGCAGTTCGGTTCCATTGTATTCCTGAACGTTCATTGTGCCTGCAAAAGCTGTTTATTTGCATATGGGGGACAGTTTATTTTTGTGTGGGTCATGTGAATATGTAATGGATGTAAGTCCATATGTGCATACGACTGAGGACTCGTGTTTCAGGAATGAATGGTTTGCTTTAGAGAGGAATATAGAATTACGGAAAGTTGATGTATGAATACGAAGAATGTCCTGAAAAGTAGTTCGATTGTGGCGAGCCAGGATAAATGTACTTTTTACAAAGAAAGATATATCATATGAAAATACAATTTCAGTACCGGACACCCTGTAATTTAGATATTTTATTTACAGATTTGGAAAGGTTTGTAACAAAAAAGCCGTATTCATAAAAGAGAAGCATATCCTCGGAAGCATAAGGTGTATAAGGTCAAGCTTCGGAGAAAAAGGTAGAAGTATAAGCATATATAATATTTCATATTCATAATGATTACCTTATACTCGCGAGGATATCCTCCAAGAAGAAGTAAAAGGTTGACTGGTATTTGTATCTTGAGCGACATGTCCTGACTTGTTCCAGCTTGTAGTTGACGTGGGAGTTCGTTCACTCAGCATCACTGACAGTTGTACTCCAGAGCTTACACAGACCGTTCCGTATTTTTACTGGATACAGTTTTTTATCAAATTAATAAGCATGTCATCCTCAGGTGATGAGGAAACTATAGAAAATAATGGCAACGACCTGCAGTTCATCGCAAATGAAATTGCCATTGCTCCCATTAGTTTGCAAAAGTCACAAGTTCCAAAAACAAAAATGAGAAAGGACGATGCCTTGAAGAAGATGGTGAAAAAATACGAATCAACATTCGGTAGACCATTAGATACTAAAGGCTTATTAAAAAAATCAACAACGTGAAATCAAGATTGAAGAAAAAACAGATCTA